ACCAATGTGCTTGCATTTACTTCCATTTGCTTAAGCCCCCGGGGAAAAAAAAACAATATATATATATATATATATATTCCAGCAGTGAGAGATTCCCTTTAAAACCGACAAGGGAAAATAACACTTATTCCTAAGCAAATGGGAGTTTAAGTTGATTTCGAGGCGCGGCCTCTCCCAACTCTGCCGGAGAGGCATGTCAGCGCCGAAGGCTGAGAGCCTAAAGCAGAGCGCCGATCAAACCCGGCCGTGCAATTGGCGGGTTCACGGAGGGAGCACTGAACCTCCAGGTTCGACCCTGAACCTAGGATTTGAAGCTTTTCTATACCCAATGTGGTCAGCACACCTTGGCTGCGTTCCTTTGTGAGCAATCCAAGATTAGTTTGCAAGGCTAGACTTGGGGCACCAGCAGCGAGCCCCAAAGTCTGACATCCGGGCAGGTGGGAATATACATGCACTGGCAAGACTCCACAAAACAAGCCTGCCAGTCGCACCGAATGAGTCGGGAGTGCATCTTTGAGCTTTGCATCTTTGACCGAAACCGATCTCTCGAAACCCAGAGTGTGGCGCGCGCTTTAAACGTGTGGCTGGCGAAAAGAGAGTCCTCCGGACTCTGTCCCAAAAACTTGTGTTGGAAACTACGCTCAACAAATGTGACCGGTCCTGAAGAATCCTGGCTATAGAAAAGCTGGTGTATTTTTACTTAATCAAACACGGGCTCCCAAACTGAACAAACAAGCAAAAATCGCCAAGGCTGGAAAGCCAAACCGAAGATCAAAGGACAAAAATACGATGTCTGCATGATGCCGTGCAACCTTCGCCAAATTGCGAAGAACAAGCTTCTCTCAGTTCCACCCTGTTGGAAGCAGTGCACCCCTTAGAGTTGGAATCAGGGCCGCCCAAAAGGTCTTCATGTGCAAATTCAAAACATTGTCTCGGCCAGTCGAAACAGCATTCAGTTCCTTGGACACCCCGAGAAAAAAATCAGCTAAGCCTCACATAGACCGATGCGACCGACGTGGCGCACGGCTGCGGCTGGCACGGCTTAATGGTTTGACCCCTCCTTGGGCAAACAAAGCTGGGCTGTCCGTTTTCAGATCCCCTGCTGAAAGTGATTTTTTTTGTAACTTTTATTATTTTTTTAAAGTTCAGACCCCACTGAACTGAACCAACAAAAACAATATATACAAAAAGCTCAAGAACCGGATGGCTGATTAAGGCCACTCTTAGGGTGTAGAAGCCAACAAGTGGCCAGCTGATGCCGTGACACCTTCGGCACCAGGTCTCCCCACTCGACGCGAAAGCCGTCTACAGGCGGCTCCTGAATGCAAGTGGATGCCGTGTCTTGCTTCAGCTCCCTTTGGTTTGGTGGTGAGGGGTGTCATTAACTTTTAGAACCAGAGGTTCCAAATCCCCAAACCCATCCAAAACACAACTTAAGGCATACCTGATTGATTTGTTTTTAATCTGAGAAGAGATGTTGTAGAAGCAAGCTTTGCCTTGGCCAAGACGCCGCTGCTTTTGCCACCGCAAGGGAGTGTTGGTAGGGCAAACAATGCCAAGGAATCTCCTTTTCAGCCCCAGGATTTCAGAAAACACCACGCTCTTCAAAATTCAAGAACCCTCAAACATATATGCCAACAAACTTTGCAATGCAGCAAGGGCGTGGTCTTTCACATCGCCATCAAGAAGAGGATGGGCGTCTCATGATCAAGGCATCCACAATGGGTCGCTGTGTACTTCTGGCATACTTCAGGAGAGAATTGCCCGGCCTAGAGATTCATAAAACTAGCGCTTACTTCGGTGGCCAAGAAAGTACAAAGGGTCCAAACCGCATCTCAAGTTTGTTACCCTTTGAAAGCAAACAAAGAAGGCACCGTCGTTTGAGACACACAATTTCGAGATGCCCATGAGCAAGAGACATGGGCATGCTGATGTGGCTGTGGGTCAAAACCCCGTACCCCCAGTGAACATCCGATTGAATCGATTCAATCCCACTAAAAAAGGTTCCAACATGGGTGGTGAATTCACCTACCCCAAAATGGGATCCCAAAACGGTTTTGACCCACAGCCATGGTTCTTCTGCCTAAAACAACATTGGAAAGCCGAGTTTGCGGTCCCTCATGTTGAGGAGAGATCGAGGCGGCCCGGTGCATCCCCTCAGCCTGGAAAAATGGATGGGCGTCCCCGGTAAGTGGGGCATACAACCAATCTCCAAACCAGTGCAACCCATCTACTTCTGACATGGCCCTGGAACATGGGGCATAAAACCAATCTCTTTTCCAGTGGAACCCATCTGGAACCATGTGGTCAAAAATAGGGTAAACCCCAACTGGAACCCTGGTAAACGGAAACGTGGACCCAAACCTGCGGTCCATATCCTGGTGGTTCTTAATTTTGACCCATACCCATCTATTTCCATCCAAACGAACCTTCAAACAGGGGTCACCTCTGCTCGCGCTGCCCGCCTGCGCCTCGCACAGGCCACTGGCCCCCAGAGCCGCCAGCGCCTGGCTGTTTGCGCGGGTGGCTTGGGCAGGGGAAAGGGCTTGGAGCTACTGACGAACGAAATCCATTTCGCACCGCTTGGAAACTATGGGCATGTGTTTTTTTCTTTTTTACCTGTCCAAGGTCTTTGTTTGACCTGGTTGCAGCTGGGGTCTTTTCTTGACCTGGCTCAAGGTTTTGGAATTTAACTATGGGAAGCCACTGTTGGTTAGTATTAACAAAGGAATCGAATCAGAAACCGGGGTTTTCTAGGTGGTGCAGGAACTCGTCCATCCCCAGTATGGCTTGGCAAGTGGGGCCAAATCAGAAATCCGAAGCCAACTGCTGCGAAGTCTGTTTCGTCATCCATTTCGCCAAGGAAACCCTGGAAGAATGATTCCAACTTTTGATTTCCCTGTACCCTCCTCTTAGGCACCACCACTCAGAAACCCTGGTTTATGATTCGATTCCCCTGCAAACACCAACAACGGTTTCAACCATGGTTTCATTTCGTGGTGCGAAATGGATTTCGTCCGTCAGTAGCACCCAAACTGGGATGTTCCAAAAGATGGCGTGTTGGCCAATCCAATTTTCCATACCTTTAAACAGCCCAGCTAAATGATGGCATGTTTGTTCTGCCGCATCCTCAAATTGTCATGTTGAGCACATTTGGCATGCAACGTGCAGGGTTTCGTGGGCCTGCTCTCTAGAGGAGAAACTGCGGACATGAAACTTAAGCGGCACGTGGAGAACCCATGGGCAAACTCAACCAGGTTGTTCGCTGTCCGTCGCAATTGTTCAATTAGTTGGAGTAGTTGTCTCTAGAATTTGGGTCCTTCTCTGTCACCTTCTAGCTCGCCTGCACAAAACAAAAACCTGACGAGTTCGCTGCTGCCAAAAGGCCCTTGAAGGAAAAGGACCAACACTTCTGTTGGGCCATATATTAGAAGAGTATTCAAGGATTACGGCGTCGCCATATCCGGACACTTAACTAGGCCAACAAGGATGTTATACCCTCCTCCGAAAGGGTTACCGCCCGCCCGGCCAACCAATTCAAAACGTCCGACGTCAATAGGTACTTTGCGTCATTGGTTGAAAGCTTGCCTTCGGCCCGGCTCTACCTGAACATCCGGAAATGGTCGGGCTGGAGACGGCTGGAGAGCCGGAGGCTGCAAAGCTTTTGGACGGTGAGTGGCGCTGGAACGGATGGGGGCGGAGGGCTGGAGGCGCAAAAACCGTGTGGCGAGCGGAGCAAGCACGGAGCAGCTGTTGGCAAGGGCCAAGTTGTATTACGTCCTGTCGGGGGGAAGGGGTCTGATCCGATCAAAAATCGTTCAGACTACCTCCAGGGCCCGTGAGAGTGGCGGGAAATATTGACTTAAGTCATTTAAATGTTATACACTACCTCCAGGGGAAATAAACATGTTCTTAAGCAAATGGATGCCTGAGTCCCAAGACTGAGGAGTGGGATTCCCAAATGTGGACAGTGATCGGTGGCTGCGTGCCAATTCTTCAGTTCTGGCTCAAAAAACAAGCCATTCAGTTTGTGTTCTGGCTTGTCACGAACCCCGAAATGTTGGCATATCTTCCAACCATATGGCCATGAATCAAAATCCAAATCGTACCCCCGGTGAACATCCGATTCAATCCCCACTAAAATAGGTTCTACAATGGGTGGTGAATTCACCGAAAACCCCAAAATGGGATCCCCAAACGGTTTTGACAACCACACATATATGGATATACTCTCTGTTTTTGAGGGAACCCTTTTTGGGGCTAGAAGGACGCCAGCCATTCTGGGAGTTCTCCCAAATTGCGACAAACCCATGGAGCTATTTATGGCAGTCTCTTCAACACCTCCATTTGGCCATACAGCTCACAACGACTCTTCTCTGGAAAGATAGAGCTGTTGCAAGTTGCAAGTGGCTTGCAAAAGAGCAAGCCAACATTCGCCTGGGGTCAGATGTGTTGGTTCAATTTCTGTGGGGCAAAGTGAGAAACTGGTTAGTGGTTCCCTTTAACCTACCATTGAACAGGGGTGACTTTGATAGTGGTGAAATAATCGGGCCTGTTCTGAGGCTCCATGGTTCCAGACAACCGAACCAGGGGCAATTGTGCCATGAGGAGTGGAAATCCACGCGCCGAAAACAATCCCTGGCTTCCTCCCAACACTTGAAGCCGCTTCTCATGACAACAGGTATCTGGGCTGTCCTCAGATCCCCTGCCTAAAAGTGCAACTGTTTGTGGGTTTTATACTGAAGCCCAACCACTAAACTACCTAAAACCACCTAAAAGCCAAGGACCTGGATGGCCGATTTCGAACTGTCAAGGTCTCAGCGCCAAAGGAGCCAAAACGCAGTTTTCCGCGCAGTGTCTACCTTTGGCCGGGGCGACTTCGCCGTGGCGACTTCGGCGCGTGGGGGCGCGAACTTGATGAACTTCATGTAGCAATCCCTTGCAACCTTGGAGGACGATGCAGTCAACGAATACAGAAAGCCGAACCGCGCATGTGCTCCTCATTCTTCGTCTCTGTGCGCTGCCATAAAATTGTAGAAGTCTACAACATCGTGCTCTGCAAATTGGTATCCACATTTTTGCAGGTAGGCTACTTCGGCTGTTTGGGACGCACCAAGGCCGCTGTCCTTGCGGGCCTGTGCTACAGAAGTCTCGCGTGAGAGCTCATTCCACTGCAGTTTTCCACGACCCAGCTTGCCTTCGAAATAGAAGACGTGCAGAGTCTGACCAAGTGCAACCGCATCATCCACGTTCTTCTTCCAGCTATGGAACCAACAGCAGCCCCAAGGGGCAAGGCCCCGGTTCTTGTCGCACTTCTCCTGTGCCTTGGCCTCTGCATTTTCTTTCTCTCTCTCCCATTCAGCGTCACTTTGGCTTCCCCTTCTGAGGAATTCTTGGCCCATAGCCTTCGCATCCATTTCCTTGAACCGAAGTTCATCCTCAGTCATGGACGAAGGGTCTTCCACTATGCTGATGTAAGCGGCTGCATTCACCCGGCCATACAGGGCCCTGCACCAGCAATCGCCGGGATGCTCTGGGTTTTGCTCGTGGCCACCCAAGCCAGACGTCTCATCGGTCAGGAAGACGCAAGCCAGGCTGCATGCTCCGCGCTGCAACTCCACCTTCCGCACAGCGGCATCCCATTCCTCGGAAGGATCAGTTGCCCAAAGGACCCAAACATAACTTGGTTGCTGTTGATCCCCCTGCAAAAAGTTTACCTTTTTGGGGGGGCTATTTCCCAAAAAGTTAAAGTCTAAAGATCCAACCCAACAGCAGTCAAAATAAAAGGCTAAGCTTTGGGGACCATGGCCACAAATGGACAACAGGTCGATTCGCTTCGAGCGAGTCAGCATGAGTGTCATCATTGTGTTCAATCATGCTCAACTACAACCAGATTGTATCAATGCAATCCTTCCGGAACAAACCACCGGATCCTGAAAATATCCAACTGTCGCCATTTGCCAGCGGCTCATGATGAAATCAGACTTCTCAGAACTTCCAAATTGACGACCAAGGGTGATAGCATTTAAGATCGCTTCACGGAAAATCTCGCCCACATCGCAACTTCAAAACACGCTTGACGCCAGGTCTCCTCTGCGTATCTACCAGGAAAACTGACAATGCAGTGCCGTGAGTGGCTGTTCACCCTTCCGGGAAAGGCGATCCGCTGTCCATTGGTCCTGGCCATGTGCTCCAACTCTGCTAGCACCTCCTCTGGATCTAACCTGGGCTGTCCAAACCGATCCCCTGCTAAAATTTGACTAACTTTTAGTGGCTTAAATTGGGAAACCCCACGAAAAATCAACCAAAAACCTTTTAAAAAAAGAACTTAAAAACCCAAACCTAAAATCAAACTAACACACCTTAAACACCTAAAACACCTAAACCGGATGGCTGGTTGAGCCACCAAGTAACGTACCTCTCCGGCCTACGATGCCACCGAGGACCAGGAGCGATAGAAACACGAAGAGGTTGTCCTCACTTGCCCAGTTTGGACCTGGCGACCTGAAACCTTGACGTAACCAAATCCAAAGCATGGGACTGAGCATCTTGTCGCCTGGACCTTGACTTAGATTAGGAAAACCCATAACGTTAACAGGGAAACCACAGCAGGGCCCAATGGGGACCTGGAAAATAAAAGGCGATCACCTTTTGGGACCTTGGCTTGCCCAAAGGGGTGTGGCTCGAATTTTAAGGGCTAGGGCGAACCGCAAATTTTGGTCTTTGTTTCCATTTACCCAGGGGCAATTTTGGGTACATCTTTTTGAGCCACAGCCGAATCAGGGGAAGCATAAGGTTGGACAACTGAGCAGCTTCTTGTCGCATTTTGGGACCTCCGTTAAAAATGGACCAACTATGGGAACACCAAAGGTAAAAAAAAAGAGGAAAAGCTTTGAAGAACTGAGTGTCAAATGTGAGGAGAAAGGCCGGGACCAGGCCGAGCTGATGCCCAAACACTTTCACCAATGGAAGATAGCCCGCATCCCACACTGTGAGGCCTGCCCCTAGACGCAAGAAGAACACATTTCGTGCAACGTGTCTCATGAACTGGTCATCTTTCAACTCCTTCTCCTTCTTCGCACCTGCCTCTCTGTTCAGCCTCCTCGCCTCCTTGTCACGCAGCATTTGTTGTTTCGATTCAGCTTCGTAGCAGAGGGCGCCGGCGTTGGCTGCGGTGACGGCGACAAGGACACCCCAGACGAATGCGGGGGAGGCGGTCCGAGTCTCGTCGTCGTCGTTATACTGAGAGCCCATCCAGATCAGGTAAGTTATGCCGCCGATGAACGCCGTCTTTGGCCAACCTAAGGCTAGCAGCTTCACACCTGTGACCAAAGCCAGGCCAATCCTCGTGCTCCATAAGGAACCCACCAGCTCGCCGCTGTCGAAGTCGAACTCCTGCCGCGCCAACTCCTCGTTCATGACGAAGGCTCCAAACTCCAAGCCAAGCGAAATAAATGCCGTCAGGCAGCATCCGGCAAGACTGCTCCGTTGCAGCCACGACCTCCAATTGAAGCGGTAAAAGAAGAGCAGCAAGCTCAGCCCACCCAGCACTGGTCGCAGGAAGCCATCTGTCATCTGCAATACTATGGGCCAATGGTCACCATAGAAAACCGAACGCCCAGGACGCGGAGTCAAGATCACCGCCATGTTCACGATCACACGTGCAAGGGCGATGAACACCGCGAGACAATAGAAGAAACGGTTCCCCTTCACAGACGCCCGCAAGAAATCGTCGAAAGTCATCGCCGATTTCTCGTCGCCCTCACCTGGCTCAAGGACCGATGTGTAGTCATGGGCCATGGCATCCTGCTCTCGCGGACCCGCGAGCGGAGCACCAGAAAAAGATGGAGAAGCAAAACGTTTAAGCATGTTTGTTACTTGGGACACACACAAATCTGAAATTTTGAAAATGATAGACTTTGTGAACAGAAAAACCCATTGGTGCGTTTCAACAATGTGAGGATGTCTGCTGACTATTGTGGTTCACAGGGATTTGACGGTTGATCTCATTGAGTCTTTCAAGCCCTCACGCAGCAATCGAGGCATAGGGTCAACTCCCTACTCGACATCCCTTGAAGCGCATATGCAGGTGCAAGTTTCCCGACCTTGGTGCTCCACAAAAGCAAGAAGAAGAAGAAAAACACAAAAACACGCTGAACCGGCATATTCATGACACCGAAGCCAACAGGACAAGGTCCACCACAGAGCAACCTGCGCTTGGCTCCCACCCACCCCCGGCCGGAAAGCCCCGGAACCCCACCCTCCGGGGATCCATGGTATCCTCGGAGATCGGCGCCTGCGGGTGTGGCCAGGGCAGGAAGGAGCCGGTGGTTTGGATTTTTCTCGTGCTCCATCTACTTTCTACAAGAACCAGGGGTTCAAATCCAAATCCAAACCACACCAGCAATTTCAACCTGAATTCAGACACCACTGGGCAGATGCCTGGAAAAGAAAGACAAATGCAAAAAACTTGCCCAGCATCAGTCCTGTGATTCAGAAAAACTGCTGGCACGGCCAAAAGTACACAAATGGAAGTGTGACTGAGGTGAAGATACTTTGACAGAGAGAACCACCACCAACCCACCGAAAATGCCTTCACAGCAAGATGTCAAGCCATCCAACTGGTGGCAAATCCAACTTCTGAACTGCGTCCTTAGAGCAGAGCTGAGCGCAACTGTCGCGTTCGACCGAAAAGCCGCGATGGGCACTAGGTCCTCCAGATTTGAGAGGTTAGAATAAGGGTACCAACTTTTGACTGTAGTCTATTTTAGTGGGGTCCCGAACCCTCCCCTCAAAAAAGAAACGGTACAAGGACACCCAGCTGGGGGGCCTAGGGCACCCAGCTGGGAAAACTTCTCAAGAGGAGCCTTTGCGGCAAAGCCTGGGGCCGGTCCTTTCCTTCCACCGGGTATCATTGGCTTTGGGAGTGGCCCGCGTGGGGTCCGCAGGAAGCTTACACACGGGAAGCCCAGCCACAATGCAGTTCTGGTTCTCCAAGATTCCCCTCGGATTGCAAGGTGGGCTCCTGCATACTTCCATTTGCTTAAGTCCCCTTGAAAAAATCGAAATATGTCCAGTAGTGAAATCGATTCCCTTTAAAACCAACAGGGGATTTTTTTTTAAAAAAAAAAAGGATGAAAAAAAAAACATGTCAGCAAATGGAGGCATAGGACGTGGATTTCCTACATGATACCCATCCGCATTCCCAGTCCTCGACAACGAGGTCGGTTCCAACCCAAAAGTCTGTGGCCCAAGCTCCTTGGCCCAAGGCTCGCAAGCCCAAACCAGCGCAAGACCTGATTTTGGAGTGGGTGGGCGGGTGGGTTGGGTTGGGTTGGGTTTGGGTTGGGTTGGGTTGGGTTGGGTAAGCGGGTGTTCCAAGCTGAGCCGACCGCCTACGGACCCAGCAGCCCCTCAACCCCCCACCCGCCTCCCGGGGCAAAGGCGGACGGCCCAGCGCCGGAGCGGCCTGAGCCGATGGGAGGTTCAGTCGCCCCCCAAGAAAAAGCGGAAGGAGTTCAAAGCCAAAAGCACGCATGGTGGAGTGGGCATTCTCTTGGAAAACCTCTTTTTGCAGGTCCAGGAAAGTGTTCCAACTTGTGGGTTCTTCGCGTGATGGTGAAGCTCATCATGCCAGAACAGCGCTGCACAAGGTGAAGACTCTGAAACATATGATCGCATCCTTCGCTTCGCTTGCCGCGCTTTGGACGTGTTGGTTCAAGGGAACTCGACCTCGAAATCCGCCGAGGCCCTTGGGCTGCAGGCAACAAGATTTGGCTGCAAAGGGTTGGTGGTTTAGGCTTGGTTTAAGGTTTCTTTCGGATTTCTTTGGGGTGGGCTTGCGTTTGGTTTCAGCTTGGTTCTAGTTTCAGTGGTTGTTTAGGGTGGGTTTAGTGGTGGTATAGAAAACAAATCAGGAAATAAGGACTGCCTCTAACAACTAAGCATGGGATTCGCCAAAAAGGGGGGGGGGGGCGGCTCCAAATAAGATCCCTCAATGGGTCTGTTCAGGGGTTCTGTCCAGGCCTGAAAGGAGGGTAATGTTGACCCCGGATTAATAAACCCCTGTTTAATAACATGGCGGTGTTCCTGGTTTTTGGAGGGGACCACCCCCTTAGAGGTAAACAGGGGTTTGTTAATTCGGGGTCAGCATTACCCTTTGGGGTTTGAAAGGAAAGCACGAACGTAAAGGTTCCACCGATGCGCCCAGCCAGAGGAATCTGAGATCTACGACGTCTACAAGCCTTTCCGGTGGATATCGTGTTTGAAACAACATGTTCTCCCGGAAGGTATTCCCCATGAATGTTGACCCTAGATTTAAAAACAACTGGTGCTAAAATTAGGAGGGTCCTGCAGCGGAATGGATTTCTCCCCACTAAAAGAGAGAGAAAGGGAAAACAGGGACCCCTTAAATGATGAGGTGGGGGGGGGGGGGGCAAGGTTCCACTTTTTGGCTGCCGCTAGACTTAAACCCAGTACTTCACCCCCAAAAGGAGACCCTTTTTAAGTCTATCTTGGGGCAAGTCAAAAGTGGCAAAACCCTGTGGGCTGTGGGGGGGGGGGGGTGTGTTGAGTCTGTTCATCTGTAGAAACCCAACCCTCCCCCCACCCATCCCCGCCTCCCCACCCGCCCACCCCCCCCGAAACCCAACCCCCCCGCCTTCATGGGCCGCACCGGGCTGGACTCCGGGCTCATGGGAAAGCTGCTGCCTGCCGTCCAGGGAGAAAAGTCTCATCTCCCGAAGGGAAGAAGCTCGTCGCGACACTTCCATTTGCTTAAGCCCCCGGAAAAAACAACAATATGTCCAGTAATGATCGATTTCTTTTGAAACCAACAGGGGAAAATTAAAAAATATTCTTAAGCAAATGGAACAACAAGATCAAACCTTTTGCGCCCAAAAATTAGGGTGTAAAATGGGGGGAAAGTCCCCAGATTTGAGAGGTTAGAACAAGTTGGTACCCGATTTTCCTTTTTTGTCTAATTGTAGTAGGGGAACCCTCCCAACCAAAAAAGGGGTGAGAAGGGGCACTACTGGGGGACCTAGAAACCTCTTGCGCCGGAGAATCCAAGCGCTTCACTTTCCTGGACCTGCATAAAGAGGTCCTCCGAGAGAATGCCACTGCACCACGAGTGCTTTGGTATGAAATCCATCTGGTGGTTGGTCAACAGGTCCTTTACATGGGATGACCATTGCCGAAACCACACAAAAGATGATATGTCCCACCAAATGTGGAGAGTTACTCTTGGTCATTTGGGGGACATGGGAATATTGACCAACGCCCAAATATCCCAAACCTTTGGAGCTGGAAAAATTCAAATGCCTGGAAGGAATCCTTCGGGCCACCGGTTTCGGTGGCGAAAGCGAAGCCTAGGAGAGTCCAAGACCCGCCAAAAACCCCGCGGCTTTCGTCCCCCCCTTTCCTGTTGTGGAGAGATTTCGGACGGGAGAAGCGGGGACCCACCAAGGGGCGGCAAACTTGCTCGCTCCGAGAAAACAAAAATCGGATTCTACAGTTTAGGCTCTTAGGCTCGGGCCTGAATCATTGGAGCGGAACCGTACCGTTGGAAATGCAACATGAACTTGCAAACTGAACAAGGGCGATCCTCAGATCCGCTAAAAGCTTTCAACTCGCGGGTCAAATTCGGAAACCCGAGCTGAATCAAAGAGGATCTCAGCTCTGGAACCGGATGGCCGGTGAAGCCCAAAGAAGCGGCCCCGGGCCCCGGGCGCGCGCCGGTCGTGCAAATTGGCGCCTGTGTCTCCGGAAGGGTTCCCGCAGGCCTCGGTCAAAAGCATCGCAAAGTGGATGGGCGACATCCGCGGAACCAGCTAAGCAACCGTGGCTCACCAGGGTTCCATTTTGGTACCGGTTTTTTGAGCCACAGCCATATGGCTGTGGCTCAAAAAGATGGCCTTGGTAAGTGGAAGACCACAACCTGCGTAACCATAACCAGCTCTTGAATTTTGAGCCGCACCCATATGAGACCAGTGTCTGTTGGTATTTGCAGGGGAATCAACTCATTCCAGGTTTTCTGAATGGTGGTGCAGGATTTCGTCCAGCCACTGTATGAAAACAGGGGAATCCCCATTGATGGGCTACTCCGATTGTGGTTTTTCTGGAAACCGTGTTCCACTAAGCCAACGAAAAAAATCTAAAAAACTATGAAACCGGATGGCTGGGAACCACCAAACCATTGATGGGCCCCAATTTGGAATCAGGGGCCCGTGTACCACCCACGACCAGCAACATGCAGAAGGATGTCTAAATGTTGCGTACATGCATGTGTATGTATTGATATATATATATATATGTTACATGTGAGCGGGTGTACATGCACACTGTATGTCGCACAATAGGTGTATGTGTATATATATATATATAATCTTCCCCAGAATTAGCTCCCCTTTTTGTTTTTTGCTTTTTTGGGGGTTCCCTGTGTTTTCCACTAACCAGGCAAACAATATATTTTTTGCTGGGGTCCTAATTCTGTGTATTTGCATAAATTCACCTCCCATTTTGCCGCGCCCCCCCCCCCCCCACCCATGTCGGCTGGCCCAAAATCCTGTCCGGCGGGCCTTGAAATTTTCGGGGTTCGTCGGCGTCCAGCTCCATGGGTCCATTTTTGAAAATGTGCTGACAATTGGCGAAAAGCACTAAAAATTGCTTTTTTGTCCTGAAAAGCATGACCTCCTGGTGGCCAGGCCTGTCTGACGTGGGACTAGGCTCAGGCCCAGCCCAAC